GGAAGTTGCAGTTTAAGGGTCCCCAAATTAAGCGTGTAAATGAAGCCCCAACAAGTGCAGAAAATGTTCTCGAAAGAGGTTCTCATTGTTTGCTAAGCAGACCAGCTACTGCATCCTCCCTTTGAGCAGATCATAAATTTACCACTCCCTTATTTTAGCGATTCCTACCTTTAAATTACTTATTAACGGAAAATTTGATTTCATTACGTTTTCCCTTACGTTAATTTTTGCTCTAACCGCACATTCTCTTGATTTAACTTACTGCGGTGGTGCAACCTTAATATTTGTACTGTTTCGAATCTAACAAAATGGTAGAATGGTCGAATAGAGTTGACAGTGAATGTCTATCTCTTGAGTTACCATTCCGACGTTAGATAGTGGTATAAATGAGTAGGCTTTAAGGGTTTTAGAGGTATGAAGGGACGAAATTTAGATTATGCAACGCCTTGCAACAAGGATTGCTGAGCATAAAACCCGGTCGCCGACAGTTCACAAGGCCAAACATTACTTTGAATGGTACAAACAACTTAAATGTACATATTACATTGTCATACCTCATAATCGCGTAAATAATCAAAACCAATCTACCTTACACAATATGGCAACGCCTGATAGATTCTTACTCACCTTTAAGCTTTTGTTTTCCTCCAATTGAAAAGTAAATTGATTTTCTCCTCACCAAATACACCAGTACCAAGGCAGCACACAAGAAGACAGCAAATATTACCGCAACACATATTACCACGGCCTCACTCACTGTTACACCACTTCGTCGGTATGACACACCAGACTTTTCATATTCCTCGCGTAAGTGTCGATGTTTGTCTTCCCATTTGAATCTTGATGAGGTCCATTCCGTTCCGAAATCACCATAGCTTTCGCCATCCCAGACTTCGGGGTAGCCTATAACACTTCCTTTGACCGAAGCCAATGAATTACCCGGGAAGCGGTTCGATTGTAGGTAAAGATTGGTATCTTGGGTTGTGGGATAAACCGATCCTCCAGGGCTTCCTGACTTGCTTGCTGCAGGTCTGCCTAACACTATACGCAAGCGAGCAGGGTTAGCGCAACGTGGAGGGGATCCTTGATCACAAGCTTCGAATTGGAGGAGGTAGTTAGAAGTTTCCTTCGTAGCTGGAAGAACAGTCTTGAGTACAAGGGAACCAGTGTTTGGATCAAGATAAAAAATTTCATCAGTGTTGCCCGAAGTGATGGCGTACCGTATTTGACCGTTGGCACCGGCATCGGGATCTTGAGCTTCGATGCGAATGAGGGGACGGGGAATTTGATTGGCTGAAATGCGAAATACAATGGCTACAGTGGCAATTATTTGGAGTAGATCGTAAACGCTTTCAAGTGTCTTATTGCATATTATCCTTTAATTCGCGGTGAAACGAATGCTAAGAGAGGTCTCATTAAATCACGTGTGGGTGGCTAATCCCACTACGTGATTAGCAGTCATAGTGGCTTTTACGGGATATCAGTAGGGCATCACTCTGTGGTTAGTCGATTGCTACAAAAAGACAAGGCTTGGGCACATGTTCCCCTCGACTCAAAGTCAGCTAAAAATCACTTCTAAACGATACCATAATGAAACCACACTTGGCTGTTGGAAATCTTTCTCCATATTAATCACTTAACAGTGTGAGAGAATAACACTTTGACGGTGTACTAATTTTTTATTTGGACACTTCATATAATACCACTTGCTTAAATGAACGAAGAAAAGGATAAGGACAATAAAAATTCTCACTGGATAGCTGGCTTTTGTTCAAACATGGATCCTGATCAAAGCTTTTATAAAGGACAAATTCGATTGGTTAGCTGGTTAGTTGGTTAGCTTTAAGTAGAGGGATCAAGACAAATATCTGAGATCTTGTGCCTGAAGAATGAAATACTGCGGTTGCAATATTTGGAGTTGGTAAACTTAAAGTGCCACCACCTATGGTGATTTTGTGCTCTAGATGTAAATCAAGTGTTGGTGCAGATAATTTTTAAGTACTATAAGAAGTCATTCACAAGTTCATTGTCAGCTTATAGTTTTGCAAAATCGAATTAACGAGAGTGATTACAGCTGACGTCGACAGAGCCACTCCCGACAGGCAGGCTGACGGCCACAACAGGAATGTGATCGGTATCGGTAGTGGAGGTGGGGGGGGATTCGATGGACTGAGAAAGTGGAGATAATGCTTCTTCCTCAAAAAAGGATTCTTCAGGCCCCCTAGTGTCGGCTACCTCGGCCGCTGGTCTGACGAACACTGGATCGTTGTCGTTTTCATCCTATAACAATACGACAGTCTAGAGTTCTAACGATGGACCATGCGCCATTAATCAATATTTTAATTATAATATATTCAATTAATAACACAGACTTTAAGCCAACCATTACTGGTTTAAAAATGTAAACGCAAATCCAACTGCAGTCGCAAAGCGCATATTTATTTGCTCAGCCACAGCGCCATTGCCATTTGAACATCTAGTAAATTTCGCCCTGTTTGTCGATAATAATCCACGGTATTAGGGAAGAGTCAGGGTTGCAGTAATGTTTAACGTGTTACTTTTTGCTTCGAAATTTTTTTCTCAGACGTTTTTGAATAAAGACAAGCGCCTATCGCGTTGCAAATAGGTTTGTTTACAGCGTTCATAAGAAATGTAACTACGAGTAAGGCGTTGACGATGGCCTATTTGGGCACTTCCTTCATACATTTAGGTAAGTGAATACAATTACGCTTCGGTAGATTGGTGAAAATCAGATTGGATGCTGTAATTTTACCAAAAACCGAAGCGGTAAAATAAATGGACCTAGACAACTCCTGAATTGGCACTCCATATTTTAAGCCTATTCTTCTTCCCTACCTTACTTGACCAACGAAGAGATTCACTTAAAAAATACTTATTCAAGTTATGACTTTGTGAGGCTACAATTGCCTCAACAAGCGGTTTCAAAAACGGTATCAATAAGTTCGAATACAAATACTAGTTGATTTTTTTGGTACACCAGTGATCCTAATCTTGTTCAAGTCATCGATGTCCTCAGGAGGAAAGTTTACAAACCATGTTGGCTGGTCTACTTGGTGGTTGTAAATAATAAATAAATCTAATTGAAAATGAAGTACGGATTTAAATGTGCTAAATCTGTTGCAAAAAAGTTGATTCGTTCAAATTTACTGTGTCCTTTTATTTCTTAGCAAAGCTAGAAGTTTACTGGGAAACGCTGCAAAAGTAGATCAGTCAAGATGCTGCCTGAAGTCGTCCACGTAATCCACCTATGGCTGTTACAAACTATCCATGGTTGCTCAAAATGCGCCTCACAAAACATGCTATCGAAAATTGAATGGAGCATTGGTTGTATCTTATTCAAAACTAACAGTTATCCACTTAAATAAAATGGGAATCACTGAATCCTCTGCAAGCATTTTTTATCGTACGAACGAAAGCGGACCAAGCTACCCGTCCGCAAATGGGATGATTGCCTTGGTGAATCAGAAATGTTTGCGAACTGCCAGATGCCGTCCTCGTTGGGCGCGCCAGATTGCGAGGTGCCCCTGTTCTCTACCCAAACTAGGTGCCAGGGCGTGCGCAAACATGTGGATTCAAAGACTCCACGTACCTCGGTGTAAGCGGTATTGGTGCAGGTGTTCAGGCCTCTCTCGACCTCAATGCCTGTACACTGATTCGTTGTGTGTGTTTCACCGCCCGCTTGCAACTGTCCACGCCTCAGAACTCATGTAAGAGCTATGCTCATTGAAGCTAACATCCACAGCATTTTCATGAAAACACTATTCACCGTTTCCACCAGCCGGGACTGGTGCATCAGCTCTTGCATGACAAATAACAAACCATGCTCGACATCTTACCTCAACTAGAACGGTAACACCGGCTGTCGATGTTCTGGAGATCCCATCGACTGGGCCCCTGTCAACAGCAACCACATTGAAGGTATAATTGGAGTAAGCTTCTCTATCCAGAGGTCCTGTAGTTCTCAACTGCCCAGACGCTGAGTGAATGGTAAACGCATTTTCCACATAGGGAGCCGTGCCCTGTGCAAACTGAATGGTCACGCTGCGCAGCGCCCGCGAACCATCCGCTCCATTACTATTGTTTACAGAGCCAATAACTCCCCAAAAACTCACATCAGGATCAATGGCACTAATGCGACCAACAAGTGTGTATGCTGGAAGATTCTCTTTTATTGAAAACTGGTATGAGTCGACCGTTGTTGGCTCATCTAGAATGCTGGGTGCATACAGTTGCTGGTTGGGCTTAGTGTTATCTACAACTTGATGAAATACTGGTGACCAGTCGTTCATATCAAATACTTGCACGTAGACACTGGCTGTGCCCGTGTGTGATGTTGCAGTGGGGTCTGATGGCTGATCTACTGCAATCACCTTCAACTTTATTAGCTTTTCTTTCTCTGCATCAAAAGATCGTAGCGCAAACAACTCTCCAGTGATCGAATCAATACGGAACAGATCAAAGGCTTGGGTTGGTGCAACCTCCTGCCCGTAATCACTCAAGGGGAATAGGCTCGGCCGTAGCTTTGGCTCCTCGATTTCAATTGTCGGTAGAAGACCATACTTAATTTTCGCATTATCACCTTCATCTTTGTCGTAGGCAATCACGCGTCCAATTCTGTAACCTTGCAATGTTCCATTCGCTCCATTTCCATCTGAAGGAACTTTGGTATTTTCGTTGACAGAAAAATAGAATACTGGTCGCAGAAAGGTGGGAGTCTCATCATTGACATCTAATACACGAATATTGATAAGCAAATCCGCTGTATTGTTGGCCTCATCTACACAGTGGATCCGTACCTGGAGCACCTTAGTAGTTTCCCTATCAACAGGCTCCTCCAGACTGAGAAGGAAATCGTTATTTTTTGGTGGCATATTCACATCGTCAGAGGAGGAACGGTGGGTAAATGGTGTAACGCGCCTAAGGGAGAGGTTCTCGTTGTCTGGAACAGTGCATTCAACGCTATCACGACCTTCGAAATCAGGATCGCGAGCTTGAATATAGGCAAGTCGAACTGGCACCGATGAATTCTCCGTAATTACACCTAAAAGTGTAAAGTAAAAGAAGAGTAGGTTTGCAATGTCAAATGTCAAGCATAAGAAGCATTTACTAAGCGATTCTCCAAAAAATGCACTCCTTCCATTCTTTCTGAATTGCGTGGAAACAATTTCGTTATAAAGGAACTCATTTTCAAGTTATCAGCCGATTTTAACTCTCTGTTCAGCATCTGAGACCTTGTTTTTATGTAAACTTCAAATTCAAAAGTAAATCCATTGAGAGTTCGAAACATCAATAATACGACGAGAAAATCATGGGGACATTTCTTGTATTCCCCCCGGATTTAAATCCCTTTATCGCCCTTAATTATGCCCCAGAATAAAAGTTTAAATGCTGCCCAAAGTGGTGCATTCAAGCAGTGAATAAGACGACAGGATGTGGTGCGCTGTCTTCGATTTTAAAAAACATCGAAATGTTTGACAAATCTGACAATCAAAGTCTTTGTAAAAATATAGGCGTCGTGCAAATACATACATGTACCCTCCCAATAAGCAACATGACACAGACTTTTCAATAAGAATTGTTGACAAGTCGGCTCAAATGCATTTTCGAATAAGTTCTAGCAATTCATGAAAAAAAGATGATAGTGCTGGACGCATTGCATCCGTCCCATAAGAGTGAGGAGCATGATGGTAAGGTGGTGTTCGTCTTTTTGATGTCGCCTTGGCCTGTGGAAATAAAATTTGCCTAGATTTTGTGACGTCTGTGAATTCAGTAAACCTTTTGGTCTACAACTCCCTACCCAACTGAACTTTCCTTAAGCTCAATTGGGCAATTGGAGCCCTGTTAGTCAAAATCACCATGCGCCTAGAATGTCATCACCTTTTTACGATCTTGGTGTTTACTTGTCCTCTGCTCTTCGTTTTGAACTCGTGGACAATACCAACCGCATTCATAACACAGTCCTACTTTTGTGACCTTCAATTCCAACTCACAGAGATTGAACAGGATAGGCTAATAAACAGAAAGAATTACAATATTTAACTTGTCAAGAAGGACGCACCTGAGCATCATGAACAGAAGCTAGACGCAGCATTTCATCATTGGCTGGTGGCAGACGTGTAAACAATTGGTGTTTCTTTGATTAAACCAAATGTGTAGAATGAGTTCACAATTTTGACACACTTCACCGCAGCATTAATACCCTCTTGAAAGACAATTTCGAGCTTTTGAATCCCCATCCAATATGAAATGCCTGCTGTAACCTTTTCACTGAAACTCTTCGACAGATTGGTTAAAAGTAATACCTGCATGAATTGCTTAGTCAGAAACGATGGCTCGATTCGGTGAGTGGCTATCTTGGGTCAGTCGCATTGGGACTGGAGGTGCTAGCGTCAAGCCTTCACCACTATTTTCGTACTGAAGTATTTGATCAAGCTGTTCCTGCACCAATGGAACGCTGACAGTTATTTTGGCACAAAACTTTGATCTGTGTCATCCTGAAAGTTGGTAGCAAGAGCGCTTGAGGTCACTCGAAATTGTCTTGATCAACATTAGTTTTCCTAGCTTGTGGCTTTATGTTGACAGCTAGGCTACACGTATGAAAAAACAGTACCAAAAAGTTGTTAAATTGAAGGGCCTCGTTCTTTGAGATTGTAATTTCTTCTAAAAAATTTATGATATTATTTACGAATGGATGGATGTAATGTGGCTTAAATATGCTTCCACAACGAATTTGACCCACCTAGCACCAATTTTGATGAAAAACCCACCACTAATGATAGTCAGAGAGGCATAAAACAATAAAACTAACAATGAATAAAAGTTGTCTTAGATAGTCCGAATGAATAGCTGTAAGAATGTCAAAACAAGTTTAGCTTATTTGATTTATAGCCATGGCTCTCTGACTAACATAAATTTCTTGTAACGTTCCCTTCCCTTTTCTTAGCTGATTGGAGAAACCCAATGCCAATTAAAAGTTGTGGCGACTACCTGCTTCACCATGCTTTACGAGCTCAGGTGACCCCAGGAAACGCGAAGTGATGATCGGCCTCTCGTCGTTTTCATCAATGATTGGTATGACGACCAGAGCTGTTCCAGTTTTTTCATAGGGTGGTGGTGCCGAATCCGTAGCTTTCACGAAAAATGCAAACTGCTTCCCTTCTGTGGGCGGAGCCTCACGAAGCGCAGAAGTAGAACTTGCCATAAGTCCCGGCTCCAGAGTTTCATAGTCTAGCCAATGTCGCAAAATTATTCGACCGTCTGGATGTACTGAAAAGATCTCCCCGATTAGACGATTTGAGCTGGGAACCATTGAATATGTAAGGCGCGAGTTACGTTCCGAGGCGTCTCCATCAATCGCAGTGACATTGAGTATTACCTTTCCCGGATGCGTTCGTTCTGAAATGCCTCGACCACCAGGTGGAGTAAAAACCTGTTGAGTAAAAACCGGACACTCATCGTTGACGTCAATTACGTTGACCCGTAAATGTGCTCTTCCCACATTTGTTGGTTCACCCGCATCTGAAGCAATCAAGAGAAGGTCGTAGACACTTTGTTTTTCGTAGTCAATTGGCTGGAAAGGAGTCAGTTGTAGCATTCCACTGATTGGACCACTTATTGTGAATGGTGCCGGACCTTGATCACGTTCATTTGCACCGCTACTCGATGAGCTTATGTAGTTTTCCAGGCGATATGAAATTTCTCCGTTTCGTCCTGAATCGGGATCGTAGGCGGCGGGCACGAGGACCTTATTTCCTGAACCCTGCTCAAGTATATTTGCTTCCAGAATGGGTAGATCATCGAGCTGTTTTCCTGCTAGATTCCAAGACGGCTTATTGTCATTGACATCTTGAATCACAAGTTTAATTGGAATTGTTTGAACAGATACTTCCTGATTATTTTCTGTCTGTGCTGTGGCTAGTATATTTATTTGTTTCACACAAGAAGCTTCCGGATCCAAGTATGTTAGTGGGATTTTAGAAGACTGGGAACAGAGGGCCTCTCTGTCTATTCGACCGTCAACATAAAGCCGGCCTGTTTGAGGCTCAATTTTCAGTAGTCGAGTCAGCATTTCGTGGGAATCGAGGAGTTGATAAGTTGCTTTAGAGCTCACTCCGATGGCATTGTGTAGGTATTCAGAGACTCCGCTAATTTCAGTTCCATTTGAAGACTCCTCAATGATTTGGAACATTTGCATGTGCGAGTCAGCAAACCCATAAGCGTTCAGTAAACTCGAACTTATGCTTGTTAGTAAGGCGAAGGCTACTATAAAACCCATCTGTAAAGGAAGCAGTAAGATTAACGTCGAATGGTGTATTCACTCATTCAGTCATGCAATTATTTTATGCGCAGTGAGTCTGTGATTTAGTAATGGGATTGGATAATGTTGCACTGCTAGATACCAAATAGTCTCCAGACACCTCACATAGGCCTAAACAGTATAAGCATATGGCTGGTGGTTTGGCAGAGGAAATTCTCTGCTTACATGTTTGTGTGCATAAAGCAAGAGTAGGCGGGTGGTTGCTTCCATTACCGAAAGAATCCTTGAAATACACAAGGTGGACACTATTGAAGAACATCCAAAGGGTGGTAATAATGATAGAGTGCTTTTTTCACGAAACATTTAGAATTAATACGGAGATCAACTTCATTGCCGTAAGTTGACCAGCTTCAACTTCATACAAAACCTGAGGTATCCCCTATCATCGACCCTTCATATTTGTCGAAAACATAGGCAGAGCGAAGCACTTAACTCCATTAACGTTACTTACTTGCTGGCTCAAGAAACAGCTTGATTAGTTCTAGCTTCGAAAACAAGAATTCTTTAAAGTTGTTACGAAAATTAGTGCTTTGAATGTAGACATTGGAAAATCTCCTGTCGAAAACAATCTGACTATCCGCAGAAAGCTATAGCCATTGAAAACTATCCAAAATAGCATGTTGCCCACCACAGTCTCAGCGAATTTGTGCTGTGGGTGGCGTTCAAGAGCTTCAGTTTCACTTGCACAATGCAGTGCTTTCGTTTCGCCCACGAAAGATGCACACCCTGCACCCATTCGAACGCATGTTAAAATGCGTTTTCAGATGTGTAACCGGAAACACGCAACTGTTCAGCACCGATGATGTATTAGTGAATCAACAAAAAGAGGGTTAGCGGAAAATGTTTTTTCGATCCTCTTCTATTGTTTCATTTCCATCAGCAGCATGTGCCCTACACTGTCTGCTCAAATTAGGTCTGGTATAACGGCATTGGGAGGAAGGTCTTATCCACCACCATGGTTATAATTTCGAGTGCTTTAAGTTGCCATAGAGTAATCAAGTAGAGTTAAATCCAGAAATGTACTTCTTTTGTGGTGTTACAAACTCAGCCAACTAAACAACATATTGTTAAGGTGTTGCAAAATTAATGGTCCTGAAATTCCTCAGTACGCGTTTTCGATAGTGGTATGCTAGCGAATAATTAAGTCTGCAGACCAAGTAATGGTGAAATTTGTAGTTGGTGATGTTTGCACAACTTAAAGTTGGTTTAAAATATCACGCGAATCGTGCGTAATCCAAAAGAATCCACCCCATCACTAATGCAAGTGTATGATGGATGCTGAACACACGATAGTTTATGCAAACGCTGGATGACCATTGTTTCACTGTATAGTCCAGTTGTAGTAAATGAGTCTTGAAAAGGAAGTATTTTTACGCCTTAGTGTGTCATTCAAACGTGTTTAAATCGCAAATATTCGAAATATAGATTGCACACACATCCTCAACGTACGTTTGGGGTACTGACTACTTAAAAAATTCTACTGGAGTGTAGTTCTGTGTAATCAAAGTGATACTAATAACTCACCCCTACAATTCGGTAAGGTGTAATAATGCTCTGCAGTTGTTATTTTTTCGAAAATTCAATAGATTCCTGCATTGACATCAGATGTTGTAAGTGATGTTGAGCGAAAAAGAGGGGTCAATTAGACACACTTGGCATAAGCAAGCGTTTACTCCGTTTGTGCCAAGTTTGCACCAACTCGTAAGTGCACACACGCACACACACAATGACCGCAAGAGCCAATCATCGTACCGTAAATTTACACCTGTGTCGGACATGCGGTCAGCCAATCATCGCGGCGGCAATCTGTCAGTGATTCGTACTTACCATTTGCTCGCGTTTGTTCGCAGCGCACACGCGCACCCTTCCCACTTTCTCGCCCTCTCAACTTCACCGACTTGGTCTGTGCGTTGGGAAATCACCGAATTTTACCTCTCCATCTTGCAAATAACTATGTAGTGTTAAATTTTAGTTATGTGTAGTTTATGTAAAAGTGCTTGGAAATAATTTACTGTTGTAGTAATAGATGCATTTTGTTCGCAATTTTGCAGGTCAAGTAAATTAGTAAGAGCATAAGGTTTAAAGTGACAAGTCACGACGTTTAGTGGTTGGCAGACGGTTTTTTTATTCAATAAAAAATTTATGTCCCAACTTTAAATGTGGAAATACTCCTAATAAAGCACGGGTTGGGTTTTTCCAGTACGCCATGCATTCTTTCCTCCTTTCTCGTAGGATTTGACGCCCCATCTGCTTCGGAAAATGGTAGAACGATATCTCAAACTCCTTCACTTATACTTACGAAGGTAAAACTGTCTTCATGCTCCTCAAGCACCATCGATAGCATGCTTCCCATAAGGTTTGATGACTTGTGCTACTGTTGAATGCCGTATCAGTGAATGCGCTGATCACGAGTGTACTTATGGTTGCTCTTTATGTTTATCCATGGGCAGTTCCAAATATTGTCTTACATATCACCACCCTCAAAGCTTTCAAGTTGGAATTTGCTTCCTAAAGTGCCATTGAAAACTAAATTAGTAAATTGCTTACAAGCCCTTCGGAGGCTATTAAAGATGCAACTTTTGATCGTTAAGTAGATTTATCTACACTTGAACGGAGTTATGAAGTCAACCAACAAGAAGGCAAACGGTCTCACCAAACACATCTAACGTACCGTTGGACTGCTGCAGTGTAATATCAAATTAAAAAATTCTCCATAACAACCTCCAAGGCACAAATTCAATGGAAGAACAGTCGGTTCCGTGAAATTGATGCTAGGTAAAGCCACTGTCGAGATGGTAGTTTACAGCAGGTAACAGTTTTATTTCACAACTAACTTGCTTCCAGTTAAAGGAAAGAAGTCTGATATGCTGGATTGAAAAATGCACAGGAAATTTGAATATTACGATAGGTGAAGTTGTTCACCTAATGCCTACTAGTGCCTAAGCAGTAATTTAGGGAATGTCTCTAGTGAGGCAGGTCTTGAAGTGTCGTAGACCAAAGATCTGAACTAACTTTATTTCCTCGCCCCTGAATGAATGAAGCCTGCAACCGGTGCACGCTCACCCACACCGGAAAGTGTTTACGTGGAAGTATAAGGCCAGACTTCATCAACAACTCCGCGCCAAGTATGTAAATGTCAGCACAAAAATATGTACAATAATCCCATAGCTTGTGTGTGCGATTCGGTCGTGGTTTCCAAAAGCGTTGTCCAAGTCTACCTGTTAAATCGATGAAATTTATGGCATTAAAGAAAGATCCGATTGACGGTATTTTGAAGATGCAACCGAAATCACTTCCTCAAGACGAAGGATTACGTGAAGAACAATATAATAACTACACTTCCCATTTTTCGACATCCTCTCAACAATTGATTCCCTACCAGCGTATGAACAACAAACTCTCAAAAGTTCTACTATTTCAGTGTGTTTAATAATGACCACATAGCCCCAGACAAACGATGGAATAGAATTAATTAATGACCATAAGTGCTCGTTTCCCGACTTCAAAGCATTTCCACATTAATTTTGAAATGACCTCAACATTCGACAACTTGCTAGACGTTTGCATGGGCCTAGTGCATTTAACAGCTACTTGGGTGAAAAACAGTTGCTATCATTTATGTCACGAGCAGTTACATGCCTTCTTGAGCTTAAACACACTTGCTAGCATGCACTCGTATTCCCAAGCTAACAAGCCCATTGCCCCAAAACAGTAAATAGCGTTCATCTTCTTAACATACCACCTAGCATTGAACTTTATTGCGCACAAAGCAGGCCATGGTCGAATTATAGGCAAACCAATCCGTGATTCGTCCATGCAAATCCCAGAACTGTCATTTTCATTGCCAATCTTAAATGTCATTCAACCCAATGTTAACCGCCACCATTGCGGAATGAGTAAAGCTAGAGCTTTGGCAGGGTTTCGTTGCCACAATCATGACAGTGTGTCAACGCAATTAATTTGCAAAAAAAAAA